AGATATAAGTGTGGGTAACGCTGCTACTTGAGGATTTCTTTTTCCTCATATGTGCCATTGCGTGGTGATAGAACTAGTTCCCCTTGGATTGCTGCGACAGCTCTGTTAAAATATTTCCAGATCTTTCCCCACATGTAGATAGCGGCTTTTACAGATCGGAAAGTTTCTTCTGGACGTCTTGTAGCAGTTCGAAGACCTTACATGGGTGACGGGCTTGTTCAGCACAGGCTGAAATGTAACCAGTGCGCATAGTTCATGTACTGCACTGAGGTGTGCTGTCACCTTGGAATTTTATTTCTAAAGTCGATGAGGTGGCGTAATTGGAAACGGCTTCTATGGTACCATATGTCAATCGCGTTTTGGAACCCCAAGAAGTATCGAAGCGTCAAAAAGCGTTCAGAGAAAGCCCGATCTTGTGAACAAGGACTCACCCCCGTCCTGGTATCAAAGTCGCGTGGCGACAAATCTCTCTCTGATCCACAAGGGCTGCGATTGGCCGTGGTGGTGAAGACCACGGCAAACCTTGGCCAGGCTGACCTCGGGATTCCAGGGAGCCACAATGGCCTAGCCAGCAAATCCTCGAAAAATGGTGATTATCCTGGGGCCCGCAAAACCAGTGAGGACAAGCCGTTGTTCAAGTGTTAAGATATCCCAGAAAAGTTTTTGCACACGCCGATCTGAATAGCAAACTACCTCACAGATCATTGAAAACGCAGCTTGAAACATAATACAACAAATATATTTAAATCTTTCTTGATATATTAATATTAATATTTGAAAGTAGATATTCTATAGATCACATGGAACGCAGTGGAAGTGTTCATGATAAGTGGTCTTCGCGATCAGAATATTTATGTTTTCTAAGAAAAAATAAAAAGAAAGAGAAATTCATCGAAAGTACACAAGGATTAATGGGAAGTCTTATTTAATAGGTACTGTATGAACAGAAATCGAGGAAGTTTTAAATTATTGAAAGAGGCAAGTCACATTGTTGAAAAAAGGGTCACTTCTACTGATCGTTCTCGAGGTGAAATAAGATCTTTTCCACGCATTTGGATAAACTATACGGTATTTATTCATCGAAAATAGAAATGATGCATGTTGCTTAAAAACCGTAAAATCGTTCGTTATACGCCGCACCTTAGATCTCGGTATATAAGGAGGAGAGAAGGCGGCGATGTTGGCGTGGTCCGGACGTACGGCGGTGGCCATAGCCACAGGGCGGCGCAGGGGTGCGCGAAGTGATGGCCGCAGCACCCGCCCATGGGTGCCACCAACGGACCCAACCGTGGGTTCGGTCCGTTGGTGGCACCCCGGTGGGCGACGGGCTCCCATCATACCCGATGGAGCCCATACTCCGCCCAACCGCTCAGTCGAGTAGTTGGGATGAAGGCCGCTCGGCTTCTTCTCTAAGCCGAGAGATGGAGTCTTGGCATGCAGCTCACCGCGTACATGACTCGACCCGCACTTTTGCTTTTCTGGGATAAATTCGTCAAGCGTACAGCGGACAGGATTTTGGTTAGCACTCCACAGCCTCATGGAAATTTCGGCAAAGTAAGCGTT